CGTCCTCAGAGAGCTCGAGCCGCCACAGGGGAGGTCGCGTCGGCACTGTCACGGACTGACGCCAGAGCCCGTGGGACCCAATGGAAGGGTGGACTTTGCTCCACCGCTACGCCGAGCTGATTACGAAGCAGCGCGGCTTAGCGCGGCTTTACGCGGCCCCGCGGTATGCCATTCTGATTCAGAGCGGTACGATAAGCGTGCTGAGCGTGCTGTTGGTAGCAAACGGAAGTCATCAGTGCGTGGCGTCTCGTTGCTGACTGCGGATGTCGAAACACTCCTCTTGGTTGACTCGTCCACCATTGGCGGGTGGTCCCCCGCCGCGCGGGAGTCGGGCGCCTCGTCCGGCAGCTGGAGGTGTTTCTCCCGCGGCGGCCGCTCGCGGCCAGACCCCTCGACCCCGGCGAGCCTCCGCGCCCCGATGGCGGAAGGACGGGGGCGCGGCTCGGCGAGATAGACGGCGAAGGAGACGATGAGTCAGCCTGACCGCGGGCACGGGGTGTCCGACCGACAGACAGAGCGCCGCCACCTGACTCACAGCCGGGGCAGGGTACGGGGTGTGCGCAGACCGGCGCAGCACCTGCCGCCGTGGACGGGACTACCGGCGAGTACAGAAGACTGATACAAAACCCTTCAGTTCGGACAAAATTGAGTTTCGATTTCCCGGTTTCGGTGGAAATAGGCGCCTTTCGTACGTCGGGTGTTTAGACAACGTTGGAGGTTGGACTGACCCTTCTCTGATTCATCCCCTACTCTAATCTATGGGACGCGGCTACACCCATGTCTGCCATTGTGATGTGTATCTGCAGAATGTGTACCAAGGTCCCAAGTAAAGAGCCCTTCCTTACCCTGACTGTCGAGATTCCCGATCAGTAAGAAATCAAGGATGAAGATGAAATAAGGTCTTCCGGGATCAGGCATTCTGCTATGTCTGTGTAAGCCACCTTCCACTTTCTATTTCTATTTCTGTTACATTCTACGCCATTTGACAGATCACGCCGTTTGCTTCCTTTCAGCTCAATGGCACCTTTCCGATGATATCGCTCGCTTAATAGTGACGTGCTGTTCGGATCCGTGCTGACGTCTGGTATTACTCGCATTACATACTATGACCTGTCTGGTAGACCTGTGATGCCAGAGGTAGTAACCATTGCTTGATCCATTCTTACTTTTCTAGTTGTTTACCATTCCACACTACTGCTTAATCGGCCACACATCATATACAAAATGTATTGGTTCCCTTGTTTTTGTAATAAGCATGCCCTGCAAATATGGTGTGAACACGAATCGAGGACATTTGCGTCAAAATTGTTGAAATTTATCGTTCCAGCGTCATTGACAGAAGAATGCATTTTTGTCACAAAAGTGTTGGCGTCGGTCAGCGTTGGAACCGCAAAAGAACATACAAAATTCTGAAAACAAGCCATAGTTCACGGCACAACGATGACAAATATACTGATTAAGTGTACCATGCGAATGTGAGGCGGACCCAGGGCGTAGAATGCTCGTAAAGGATGAGTTGCAAAGAACAGGAAAATGATTCATTTGTAGTGAAATGATATCATCGACGCTCCGCGCCATTAGTCATGTTGAAGACTAACAACGCCCACTTCCGATTCATAAAAGACGTGCAGTGCACTGTGGGACCGTGGCAACTAAATGAGAATCGTGGTTGTCAGAAAAAGCTGTCCCTTGTTGCTTTTTTGGCTGCCAAAAATCCTCTTATCATTTACTACACCACAGATGTAGGCAATTTTTGAGGCCCTTGTGTAGGCAAATTAGCCGCCTATCTGTTACAGCTAAAACATGCCAGCCCAGCAAAAAATACTGGTGACCCGCCCTTGGCATGCTCGGCTTGGCTTGGCTTGGCTTGCTTTTTACAACTACAACGCCGGCGCTGGAGTGAACAGCTAAAAGACCTCTTACTCTGTTGACATTACCAAACGTCTCTTAATTCACGTTCTACAGTGATATATCCAAATCAGACCCAGTATGCGTCTGAGCAAAAATGTTGAATGCATCCTGCAGAAAAGCGCATTCGCAGAAGTTCACGGCAGATTTCCTCACTCACGGACAAATGTCTGCAGCAACTCAAACCAGTCCTATGCATCGCGTGAGCAGCGCGCGCTTCCTGCAATCCTCATTCGCGTCTCACCACGCCCCAACGTGCCAGTCTACGGCCATACTGCACGCCACCTCTTCCGACCAGCTCGCGGCCGCGGGAGTGGAGAGAGAACACTACGGACCGCTGGAAGTCGTTGGGTCGAGGGCCAGCACCGCTGCACTGGAGGAAAGGAATCACCGCCGGCTGCCCGTACCGTTAATGCCTCGCGTTTACAACCTGTTTACTGCATATTTTGGCTTTTATATGAGCTTGTTTTTCTTCGATTTGACCATAATAATCGCATAACTTGCCTTTTAATAGGTTTTAACCTGTAATATGTTTGGGTAAAAGAGCATGTGTATGCCAGCAGTGTGGGGCAATATTTGAACACTTCAAACATCGCATGCAAACGTAGCAATAGCTTACAGCTGGCTGACGAATCGAAATGGCCTTTCGTCAACCTGACGCAAGTGGTTAGAACATCTCACGATGTACCGCCATTCACGACAGACGTCACGAGACATGCGCTCAAGACTATCGGCGAGGCGGGACCGGAGCTCTTATCTGTCCGGTTCTGTTCTATCTTTCCTGGCGCCGGGCCACAGAGGACCGGCCGCCGTTGCCGTCGCACACCTCACGGTGTTTCCCAGCCGCACGCCAGTGCGACGTGCGCCAGCCTGTTGGCCCTTCTGCCAGGGCCAACTCGCCCCCCGTTCTATCCAGCACCAACTCCTACGGAGCACCACTACCGTGGGCCTTCCAGAACGCCTCGACTGGTCGCAGCTGTAAAAGACCACCGACCTCGGCCATCCTCGGCCATCGCGACACTGCAGGCCGATGAAGTCCTCGCCATCCTGCCGGCTGGTCCGCTATCCGCCGGCAGAGCGGAGGAGCCCCGGCCGGCAGCGGAGGAGCCCCGGCCAGCAGCCTCGGCGGTCTCCGTGCTGGCGGAGCTGGAAGGAGCCCCGGCCGGCAGCCTCGGCGGTCTCCGTGCTGGCGGAGCTGGAAGGAGCCCCGGCCGGCAGCCTCGGCGGTCTCCGTGCTGGCTGAGCTGGACGGCGAGGTCCGACCCAAGGCAGACCATCCAGCCAAGGTCACCGCCACCCGAGCCTCCTGCACGGCCGGCCTCCCCGTGACGGAATGCCGCCAGCCCCACGTGAAAGCTCCCAGTCGACGAGCGGGCCACGCGCGCCGGCCTCCCACTGAGCCGCGCCGCGCTCACTGAATCACCGTGCGGTGTGCACTTGTACGGGAATTTCACAAAATTTTGTCACCGCGGTCCACTAAATGCCAGTGCAAAGCGGTTTCGGACTCGTGGCGGGGCAATGATGCCGCCTACGCCTCCGCTTTGTCGCTGAACGTGTTTGGCGCGGTGTCCACATGCGACACAAACAACAATGCAGCACCGTCATTGTGCTCACACAACCGCCGTGCTTTCATGTCACCGCCCTATTTCCATCGCTCCTGTCCCTGAGTCCGTGTGGATGCCGTGAGTGACGAAGGACATCGGTGATAGGCGAATCAGGTTTCCGAACGATGCAGTGCAAGTTTTGCTTTGCGAAACTCAGCTTGGCGAACTGTGGTGCAAGTTCTTGGTCAGACAGTCATGGCCGTGCTTCCGTGGAAAACATGTCGGTCCCGGCGGACGGAAGCGTGATTCCGCGCAAATGCGGCAGAAGCTTCCGCTGCGTGCGTTTACGTTTCCAAACTCGACTTCGTCATCTCTCATTCAAAGAGTAGACCGGAAACCCGAGACCCGATGCAAACACGTATATGGCAGAGCAATAACAGTGTCTAAGCAGTAGTTCCCGATGAAGAAACATAGAGTTCAACATTCCTCAAGTGCGAAAGAGCTCCAACAGCCAAACCCACGTGGAAAGTTTAGCACGTTGTTCAAACCACACACAAACTTTGGCGAAAAACTGCCCGCGGAGAGATCACCTGCCATGCTTCAGCGCGTCGAAACCACGCGCGCGACAGCTCCGCGGCGAGCTCACATCAGGTCTCGCCGGCGCCAGACCTTGCGCGTTGCCGCGCCGTGCGCAGCACCCGCGGCAGCAGGCAGACAGGCCGCGCCGGCGCCAGACCTTGCGCGTTGCCGCGCCGTGCGCAGCACCCGCGACAGCAGGCAGACAGGCCGCGCCGGCGGGCGCCACGCGTCGCCAGGTAGCGGGGCGGCGTGGACCGGTGTCAGCCCCGGCGCGTGTCGCCGTGGCCGGTCGGCACGCCCGCGTGCGTGCAGACCCGGCCCACGGCCGCCGCTGCGCCGAGCGACCCTGGGCCGGGCCGACCTTGGCCGGTCGACCGGCGGGCCAGGAACCGTCTGAGTGCACGGCGCTGGCGCCGGATGAGCCACCGGGACCACCGGGGCGAGGGACGGGCAGTGTCGGAGTCTGATGTTACGGACAGATCGGTGCGCCACGGAGGAACTGGAGGTGGGACGGGTGGGGTACGCCCGACCCGGTCTAGCGTTCAGGTTCCAGGAGCGGTTTCCGACATTCGAATGAGATGCTGGCGGTCGTCAGGTGGCTGATCGCCTAGTCAAGGGCGATCAGCACGGCGATCAGCACAGCGTACCAGCACGGCGCCCGACGTGACCTACATTGTCTGGTCCGTTCCTGAGCCCGCCGCCGGCAGTAAGCTGTCGCCAGCAGAGCGGCGAGTGCAGCTGGGGTCAAAGGCCATTGTAGAGTCCCGTTAAGCCTCTTATGCCGCCCAGTTTCCCTCAACTCAGGCGCGCAAACGGGAACTTTGAACATGTCTCCAGGCTTGCAGCACAGCGGCAGCCCCGGTGCCTTGACTCAGGTACAATCACCTTGGGGACCCCCACCCAGCGAGTCGGTGCAGCGACACGCCTTTCCTTAAAAAGCGAGAGCAGTGGCGTGGGAACGTTACTCACCCAGTTCACACGTCCCAAGCAGCAGAGCGGCGACCAGAAGCGTGCCGCATGTGACGAGCTTCATCCTGGCTGGCGTTCCGCCGCCAACTCGGCGCTGCCGCCACACCGGGCGTTTTGTTTGCCGTCACACGGGCGCGGCCTGACGGTGCGCTGCCTCTGCCACTCAGCGTTCTCGCTTTATCAGTCTCCCCACCGCGCTTCGCCTGCTGCGACCTTCCTGCTGGACGCAGGGACGCGCCGCCCTGCTCACGTCTCTCTGCCGCCCTCGCCAGTCGCAGGGATCAGAGCTGCGTCCGCACAGTCTCCACCACTCGCAGCGCAGGCGCCGGCGCCGCTCCACCACCACGATCTGCCGCGGCCGCGGCGCACCGACCGGTTTATTCACACGCCCGCGGGCACCGACCGTGACGTCACACACCTGGCAGTGACGTCACGCGCGCAGCGTCCCGGCTGAGAAAGTGCGCTGAGAACGACAGCGGGTCTCGGACGATCTCGCAGTGTTCCCGTGTGAGCACCGTGTGGCCGAGGCGCACCGGGCACCTGAGAAGGAGTGGCTGCCGGCAGAGCTGCGGCAGTCGGTGACGACCGCGAAGGCGGATGGCGGCTGCAGCCAATGAGCGGCGTCGCTCTGTGACGTCAGAAGTCTGCGAGGCTTCCGGGCGGCGATCGCGGCGGCTACCCAGCCCCCAGCGCCGACGTATCGTGGCGAATGGCGATAAGGCGGTGGCAGGCAGTACGTTAAGTCTCGCTTTCAACGGCACCGACAGAAAAGATCCGTGTGCCTGATGGTAGATGCCTTCGTGGTAAGAGATGCTTGTCAGTGTCGCGACGGCACTTGCGATACAGATACCGCGCCAAGGCAGAACTTCCATGACAACCTCCGTCCTCCACACGGCATCGATTCGAATATTCGAATACATAAACTTTTACAGCCGAAATTTCCACGCAAACACATTACGCGACATAACGTCTGATGTCAACTTCCAATACCTTTGCTTCCATGCAGGAAACCTCCCAACGCAAAATCGTCTGCGCAAGATTTCTCCAACGCGACAAAATGTTTCACGCAAGAACTTCAACGCGACTCTGCTTCTTTCCAGAAATGTTATTCAAACTCTTTTGTTTCTGAGCTTGACGCCCGCGAACTTGTGCAAATTATTTCGTGTCATGGGCGAGTCCTGGATTTCGTCAAGAAGGGGAAGGGGAAGCACACAACCTTGTCTGGCCACCCTAGAGTTTGGGGCCCCTCCCTCCCAAAATCATTGCATCATAGCTAGAAAATTTTGAGATTCTTGGCATGCTATTTTTATACCGTAACCCATCTTACTGTACGCAACCCTAGGAACGGGGCGTGCTACGTATGCACATACATGGAGCTCAATCATTTTTTCCAGAATCTGGTGAATCCTGTCATTTTCAGGTTAAGGTGTTTTGGAAAAAGATGGGAAAATCAATTAAAGTTAACTGTTAAATACCATCAAAATCATACACGAACTTGATTATTAGCTCAGTTGGGGCTAGCCAGCTGGTCGATGTGATCAGTGGATGGCTGATGAATAATCCAGAGCTTTTGCTTTGTCTCTTATGAAGAAGTCAAAAAACATTCTAGCATTCAAAATATGTTAAGAACGAGATGTACAAATACATTAGGTGTCAGCAATTCAATAACCGTCGGGCATGATACAGTGCGACGTCGGCAGCAAGAACAACTATCTCCGACTGTTGTGCGTAAAAGTTTCCCGGTGCATATCTAACTGGTGCTCTAAGGCTAAGGCACCAAGGCCAATACGGTGGGCCTCTGAACAATCAGGAGTGCCCGGCCAGCGGAGATATCGGACCCCGGCCAGAGCATAGCGATTTCTGAGCAAAGGCAGATTACCCAAGACCAGTGTACATGCATAAGTATTCCTGTGCGATCAAGAGTGCCCGGACAGGTTAACATAAACGACCCCGATAGGACTGAAGAACCCTTCGCAAATGATATCGAGGGGAACGAGACCTAGGTCAATGTAGAGGGCCTCTGAGCAACGAGTGGCTCGGTGCCTAACCCTATATGGACCCAAGCTACAACACGAGGCCATCCGAGCAAGTGGAACAGACCCGATACCAGCACGGAGGGGCAGTGAGCAACTGACTTTATCCCGGCATATGGGGCGTCGGAAAAAAACAAAACATTTAGAGCCTTTCGGGCAAATGCGAAGAATCCGTGAAGGGTCCCTGATCGTCAAGTGTTCAGGCATGTTAGCAGATGGCATCCCACCAGCAGCGGAGGGTCGTACGATAAAATGGAAACAATCCGTGAAGGGTCCCTGATCGTCAAGAGTGTTCAGGCATGTTAGCAGATAGTATCCAAACAGCAGCGGAGTGTCCTACGATAAAATAAAAAGAGATTAAGGCAACGTGGAAGGCTCCTTAGCTATCACATTGACCAGGAAAGTGGACATATACAGGCAGGCAACAGCGTAACGCCTCTGGACAATGAGATGAGCGTTAAAGTTTTCCATAGTTACCACCGTCCTATTCAGCGAATCATTAATTTTATCTGATCACGGGCTCTCACTTTCGCTGACGACTGTTCTTGGCCGCCTTTAGACCCAGAGACGTACAGCTTTGTTGGGTTTTATGTTAGAAAACTGTGTCCGTTTGGCCGGTTATATCCTCTTTAGAGCCTATGGGTCCCCTCGCGGCACAAAGGGGATGATGGGAAGGGACCGAAGGCACAACATGGAGGGCCCCGCAACGCTCGAGTGTGCCAGAGCAGGTTAACAGACAGGGCCCCTGACAAGAGCGTAGGGCACTCCATTCCAATGGGAAGTACTCAGGGCCCAGTGTGGAGGGCCCCGAAAGATCGGGTGTACCCGTGCAGGCTATCAGATGGTCCCCGACAGGAACGGAGGGCTCTTCACTGAAACACCAAGACCCAATGTGCAGGATCCCCGAACAATCCAGTGTGCTCGAGCAGTTCGACAGATGGGGCCCCTTACAAATGCGCAGAGCTCTTCATTAAAAAAAGAAAACACCCAGGACACTATGGGAAGGACTCCAAGCGACCGGGTGCGCCAGAGCAGATCAACAGATGGGCCTCCGGCGAGAGTGTAGGCCTCCAAGCAAGTGACAGAGAATTGGAAGAGCCCTAGGCCAATGTAGGGGACCCATGAGCATGCCACAAGTGTGTCGGTAGGTTAACCGAGGCCAACAAGAAGAGCCCGCGGGTAACCGAGAATACCTCTGCAGGCTAACTTATGGGGCCGTGGGCTAAAGCGTATAGGGTCTTTCGAGCGAATGGGAAGAATCCGGGAAGGCCTCTGTTAGACAGGAGTACCCTGGCGCACTATCAGAAAGGACCACAGCAACAGCGCAGGGTACTCCGTGCTCCAAGCAAATGCAAAGAAATCAGGGGTAAAAGGCCCGTTAACGATCGCACTGGCCCTGCAAGTGGGCATACAGGGTCCCCAAAAACAGCGCGGGGCCTTTGGACAGCGTAATGAAATCAAATCGTACGCGTCTGATGAAACAAGTGAAAAGTACAAGACAGATGGGCTGCTCTCTAGTAGAGCAGAAGCTAGAGAAGATAGCGAAAACTACAATTCTGTTTTGAAAAAACTGCAACACTAAGCGGCGCCCAACGGGTGGACAAAAATGATGGCGGATCTAAAAGAAGTACTTTTTAAGGCCGCAGGACGTCCATTCCCACGATTGCAAGGCGGTGCTCGGTGATGTTTTACTAGTGCGCATTCGAGATTGATAACAAGAACGGATGAGCATTTACAACACGCGAACTGGTGCTGGAATCTGGTGGTGGAACTGAAAGAGTAAAGGAAGAATCTCTATTTTTTATTTTGTTGAAACTGTTATTCTGTTCGGAGGATAACCACAAAATTGCAGTAGTAAAAGGCATGCCCTAGAAGCAGTCGCCGTATCTTTGAGTGGTAACACTTGATTTTAAAAATACCTTTGGAGAGCATCATTTCATGACAGCCGTTCTCGCGCGCCCGTCGCCCGCCGCCCGAGGCCTGGTGCTGTGTGCAGCGGCCAGCGCCGTCCCGTTTTACGGTAACTGTAACCCACGGCCGTAGCCGTTCTTGCTCCTAAGATCGTTACGTAGCATGATTTTGTCTCACCCAAGTACCAGGAGCCACGCAGGACGAGCTTTCAGTTGCCGCACAGGACGAGTTTTCACTCGACCTGCTGGCGAAGAGAACAGTCGAGACTGCTGGCGAACTCGACCTGCTGGCGAAGAGAACAGTCGAGACTGCTGGCGAACTCGACCTGCTGGCGAAGAGAACAGTCGAGACTGCTGGCGAACTCGACCTGCTGGCGAAGAGAACAGTCGAGACCTTCAAGGCGGATCGCGTTGTCTTTCAGGACATCTTTTCTTGCAGAGTCAAAGAGCCGACCACTGGCGGTGAGATGAAGATCAACAGCCTCTAAGCGGTCTTGAAGGCGCTGGTGTGCTTCTCTGTCCAAATCTTTGCATACTCTAGCCGAAGGCGTGAGCTGTCGGACACGGCCGATACCCGTGGCTCGGCTCGGTAGCCTGCCGAAGGCGTGAGCTGCCGAACACGGCTGACACCCGCGGCTCGGCTCGGTAGCCTGCCGAAGGCGTGAGCTGCCGGACACGGCTGATACCCGTGGCTCGGCTCGGTAGCCTGCCGAAGGCGTGAGCTGCCGGACACGGCTGATACCCGTGGCTCGGCTCGGTAGCCTGCCGAAGGCGTGAGCTGCCGGACACGGCTGATACCCGTGGCTCGGCTCGGTAGCCTGCCGAAGGCGTGAGCTGCCGGACACGGCTGATACCCGTGGCTCGGCTCGGTAGCCTCGGGTATCTCCGGTGGGAAGGCCCCAGTTAGTGCCCCCAGATCCAGAACAGACATGAGGTCGGTGATGTGCCCTGGCGGCAGGAACTCACCAGTTTCCCTTGCCTTCTTGCAGTCCGGCGTAAAGGTCGTTCTTATCGATGCTGTTGCCGCCAGACCCCAGCCGGTCAGCAACGAAGACAAACTTGCCACTGTTTGGAGTGATGTCGCCGCATCGCTGCAGAATTTCCGTGTTCGGACCATCGTTTTACACGCAACGTTTCAGGCAGTTGACTCTCCGACTATCGTCAAGTGCTATGGAATCGCGAGAAGAATTTGATGATATTGGCTCTCAGCCAGGTTTGCGTTACAACAATAATTATTTCCTTTGAATTGCTGCCGTTCGAACCAGGGCTTCTAATTGTGAATCCGGTGCTCCACCAACTAAGCTCACCGGAAAGGATACGACTTCTTGATTTCTTGCGGCATATAAAACAGTGTAGGCGAAACATTTGCCTCTATAACAAGGTACAGCC